TTTTTTTTAAATAAGTAAATAAAATCAATCCCCAGCACAGAGGGAAAAAAAGTAAGATTTAGAAGCTGCAGACATCTCCGGGTGAAGCCGAGGGCGCCTCTGCCCACCACATGACCACGCACCCAACCGCACAGCTGCTCTGGGTGCTGAGGGCGCCGAGAAGGAGCGTGGCCCCCTGCACGTCGCTCCGGGCCTGCTCAGCCGGGCCCTGGAGCCGTCACAGGCACAGCATCGCCGGCTGGCGCCAGGCAGAGCGCTGCTCACCACCGCTGAGCAGGAAGCACCGCGTGGGGCAGGAATTTGCGCAACCCCCACACGGCAGGGACACAGCAGGCCCCGTCCCCTCCCCAGAACGGCAGAGACAAACATGAGAAGCCGAGCCCACAGGATGCAGCAATCTCGCTTCCAGTGTAAAATATGCAGGCGAACTGAGATCAAGACCAAGCCCAAAGCGCCTCTGGCGTGCTGCAGCCCCACAGAGTGAAGAGCGGGCAGCGGTGAAGGGGGCAACTGGGCGGCTGGGCTGCCCAGAGTTTTGGGCACAAGGCACGGAGGGTCACCTGTTCTTGGGGACTGAGGCCGACTACAGGGACTGATCTGCAGGCTGGCGACCAGGTAACTTCGGTGGTAGCAAACCTAGGGCACATGTGCTGCAGGGGCTCACTGGGATCACTGACGCTCTCCTAGGGTGGCCGTCCCCAGGGAACAGGCAACGTGCTGCAGGATTAACAACGAGCGAGCGGAAGCAGAAGGCCAAGCAGCTCAAGCTGGTTGGGTGAACCTGAGGGTGTTTTTCTTTTCTTTCTTTTTTTTCTTGAGACAGGGTCTTGCTATATGGTGCAAGCTAGCTCTAAACTCGCTGCCTAGGGCAATGAGAAGCAAGGCAGAGGCACAGAGTTGTGGGGTGCAGGGGGCATGGAGAGGGAGGCAGCATGAGGGAGCTTCGAGGCAGGCGGAGCGATCCAGGGAGAAAGAGAGGGGACTCAGGCAGCGGGTCATCCCCACAGGGCTCCTGGGTGGAGCAGGGAACCCAGAAGCAAAGAAGCCAGCAGGGCTGAGGGGTGATGGATGCAGGAGCTCTGCTACCTGCATGGAGAGGAAGACCCAGGGCTCTGGGACAGGCAGGGTGGCCCCAACGTGGGTGAGGTGGAGCCCAGGTACTGAGTGGAGGTTGAGTTCAGGACTAAGGTCGTGGAAGGAGGCTTGAGTGGCATCTGCAGGAGGGGACCATCTGGTGACAGACTTGGGGAAGGGCTGTACAAGGAGATCACAGCTGCAGGCCTGGCAGAGCTAGTGGGGACTGTCCTTAAGGCCCAGAGGGATGATGTCTAGGAGAGCTGGGACCAAGGCAGGCTGGTGTCAGGGAAGGTGAAAGGACTGGGAATCTGGCGGGAGGGGAGGGGCAGTCGGAGGGCAGGGGTGGAGGAGGGCAGAGGGTGAGGAAGACAGGATCCTCCTTGAGGAGGCCTCAGTCCCTCGGGAGAGGGGACTGCAGTCACCCAAAGCGAAAGAGAGCGCAACTGACGGGTGCCCATTCGAGAGATGTCACTGTAGGCCCCAAGCATGCAGACAGAGAGGAGGGAATGACCCTGTGTGAGGAGATAAGATAGGCTTGCCCACATCAGAAGTTACTCTGAGGGCTGGAGAGATGGCTCAGTGGTCTAAAAGCACCTATTTGGAACAAGCTTGGAAAAGCCCAGGGACCGCGGTTCAATCCCCCAGCACCACATGCCAGCCAGCCGCGCCCCCTGGTGGGCTGAGCTGGCCACACACACACACATACACACACACACACACACTAAAATGTTAAAAAAAAATTAATAAAAAAAAGAAGTTACTCTGAGGCGGGGCACTCCTGCAATCCCAGCATTTAGGAAGCTGAGGCAGGAGGATGGTTTTGAGTTCAAGACCAGCCTGGGCTACAAAGTGAGCTCAAGGCCAGCCTGAGCTTTATGGAGAGACGCTGTCTCAAAAAGATTAAAACAGGGGCTGGTGAGATGGCTCAGTGGTCTAAAGCACCTACTTAGAACAAGCTAAGCTAAGCAAAGCACAGGGACCGCAGTTCAATCCCCCAGCACCACAT